AATTGGTGTCCTGTGCATTTTAGCATGTTTCACATATGGCGATAACCTTTTTAGGAGATCGTCAAACCATGCGGTGCACATTCTGAAGTATGAAAAATGCACTTCTTCATCTGGGCTCCGCATTTGCTGAATAAAAAGGGCAAACTCGCCATCATTCTTTCGGTTTTCATTAAGTGGATGCACATAGCACATATGTCGCTTATTCTTGTTCTTATTCTTTGCCATTGAATAGATCAATGCTACTGCCAGATGTTTACGAAACAGCCTCCATGGTTGTTGTGTTTAGGGGATACGCGCAAGCGGCACAACACATATTTACATACTCAATCTACACCCCGCTTCCAGCACCACAGAGGTGTTGGAATGTTCAAAAACAGCATACCGTCACTCAGGCCCTGTTTACACTAGTGCGTTTTAGTTTTAAAATGGCATTTTAAAATGAAAATGATCCTCGTCTACACTGGCGTTTTCACTGTGTTTCAGAAACGATCTCCTGCTGCATTCAAGTCCTCCTGGGACGGTCGTACTTGCGAGTTGACAAGTCGTAATTACGACGTCAGGTGCGTTCAAGTCAGTTTAGTCGGCACAAGATGGCGGTGTACCTTCTTTTAATAAATTACAGCAAATACAACAGGGTCTGCATTTTTTTACTTTGATGACGACAAAATCCTGGACCTCAGTGAAGCTTCGCCTACTCACCAACAAATGATCGTTCTGGGACAAGCTGTGAGAAAGCACAACAAAATTAGCATTGTGTGATTCAAACTTCACTGTAATGTAATGAACACAGGGATTACCTTCGTAACAGTTGCTGCTATCCTTGTTCTTTTCATTTGCTTCTTTTGTTGCTCTGATAATTTGTGTAACATTTATTCAGTAGTGTTCAGCGCTCCCGGGATAGTGATGTAGAGTGTGATGAAATAAGAGTGGGGATCTGAACCCATAGTGCACATTCTTGAGTGCACTCATTCCGTCCCATAATGCATCTCAGCAATGAGTGTACAGCATTCCTGAGTTCAAACAGTAGAGAATGGTGCTAGCATTGGCAAGGTCATTGGTTCAGTTCCCAGGGAAAGCAAGAACTGATAAAATGTGTATGAAATCTTCAGAATGGGCTGCAGGCCGACACGGTTTGCGCTTACCTGGTTTGGGGGAAAAATCACGCAGGCGGCACAAGATGGCGGTGTACCTTCTTTTAATAAATTACAGGAAAATACAACAGGGTCTGCATTTTTTTACTTTGATGACGACAAAATCCTGGACCTCAGTGAAGCTTCGCCTACTCACCAACAAATGATCGTTCTGGGACAAGCTGTGAGAAAGCACAACAAAATTAGCATTGTGTGATTCAAACTTCACTGTAATGTAATGAACACAGGGATTACCTTCGTAACAGTTGCTGCTATCCTTGTTCTTTTCATTTGCTTCTTTTGTTGCTCTGATAATTTGTGTAACATTTATTCAGTAGTGTTCAGCGCTCCCGGGATAGTGATGTAGAGTGTGATGAAATAAGAGTGGGGATCTGAACCCATAGTGCACATTCTTGAGTGCACTCATTCCGTCCCATAATGCATCTCAGCAATGAGTGTACAGCATTCCTGAGTTCAAACAGTAGAGAATGGTGCTAGCATTGGCAAGGTCATTGGTTCAGTTCCCAGGGAAAGCAAGAACTGATAAAATGTGTATGAAATCTTCAGAATGGGCTGCAGGCCGACACGGTTTGCGCTTACCTGGTTTGGGGGAAAAATCACGCAAGTGGACTATACGTCAGGGCCAGCATCCTGCAGAGTCTAGCTCCAACTTTCTCAATATACCTGCTTGGAAGATTCTAGTAATCCTAAATACTTGGATTACTGTTTTTCAAGTGTTTAATCGAGGTTGGAGCTCATATCTGCAGGATAGTGGCTCTCATTGGTGCTGATAGCCTTGTGGGCTGACATACAAGACAACCACTACTTTGGTGACCCGAGTTCAGTTACCAGCTCGAGGTCCTTTGCCAACGGGTGTTCCATTCCACTCTCTCTGCTCCATACTCTCTCCTGTTTGATCTGCACTGTCATATCCAAAAAAGGCCCTCCAGGAGCAGGACTGGACACCCCTGGTATAGATCAGTGATTCCCAACCCTGTTCCTGGAGCCCCCAGCACTGCACATTTTGCATGTCTCCTTAATTAAACACCTGATTCAGGCCATCAACTCATTAGTAGAGACTCCAAAACCAGAAATGTGTGTGCCAGACGAAGAGACATGCAAAATGTGCAGTGTTGGTGGGCTCCAGGAACATGGATCAGAACTACTGTATTAAGGGTGATTTTGAATACAGCAAGTAACTGTTCCACTTAGATTCCTGTCAGGACAACAAAGCCTTCAGCATGTAAAATATATAAAAGTCAAAAAAAGAGTTACTCAGAAAAGTACTTGTGTTCTAGTGGTTTAGCAATGGCTCTCAACATCGCACATTTTGTATGTCTCCCTAATGAAAAGCACCTGAATCTAATCAGTAGAAACCTGACATGGGTGTGTTACAAAGGAGTAATGCTGCGTTCAAGTCCTCCTGGGACGTTCGTACTTACGACGTCAGGTGCGTTCAAGTCAGTTTAGTCGGCACAAGATGGCGGTGTACCTTCTTTTAATAAATTACAAGAAAATACAACAGGGTCTGCATTTTTTTACTTGTAAAATATATAAAAGTCAAAAAAAGAGTTACTCAGAAAAGTACTTGTGTTCTAGTGGTTTAGCAATGGCTCCCAACATCGCACATTTTGTATGTCTCCCTAATGAAAAGCACCTGAATCTAATCAGTAGAAACCCGACATGGGTGTGTTACAAAGGAGTAATGCTGCGTTCAAGTCCTCCTGGGACGTTCGTACTTATAAATTTAAACAAAAAATTACCGTCAACTACAGACGTTGCAGCCATCGATTCCGCCATGTTTCTCATTGACACGCCCCCAACTCGGAAACTCGAGGCTTAAAGAAAATTTCGAGTTTCCCACTCGTAAATACGATCTATCCGACATGACTTGAACGCACCATAATCCCAAATGTGCAGATCTGTCAGACCAGGGCTGGGAACCCAGAAACCAAAACTCTGATGGGAAACATCTAGAACTGTTTTCAGCCTTCTCTGAAGCATAGGGCCCTTCTGGAACCCTTTTTCTGGATTCTGTTTTAATGGTTAAGTTCAATTGTAGTCATCAAATAGTATGTCTAATTAATTGAAACCATAAAACTTATACAATTTAACAACAATTCATTAAAAGTTTAACAAAAATTACATTTGAGCGTGTGACAGGGGTTCTGTGCTGAAGAGTGTTTTTTTTTCTTCTGTCTGCAGTCCTGATCTGTCCGTTCAGCAGAATTCCCTTGCCGCGCCATCTGTCTGAATGCTGACTGCTGATTCACCTTGAGCTCCAGCTGAGTGTCCAACTCCGGACGGAGGAAGAGCGCGAGAACACATGCAAGTCAAGGCTGGGCCGCTGGGTTTTCATCATGGCAAAACACTCAAATCATGTAGCTATGAAGTGGGCTATATAAATGCAAATTGTATTGGAGATCTATTAGAGGTCTTGGAAAGAGAGTCATATGTAAATGTCCCATAAGAGCAAAGCGCCGCGCCCGAGCCGATTACCGGAGGAGAATGCCAGCGCCTCGTGGTAAATCATGGTGAACAAGGTGAGAACTCTGGAAATTGAATAGTGAGGTGGTGCGTTTTGACTTATTGTAAATGCAAGAAAGATGCACAGGTGCAAAACAGCAAAACTGCAGGCTAAAATGAGTCTAGCACTGAGGGAGTATTTTGTGGCACAGAGGCCTGTGATACAGGGAAACTCTTCTCACTGATCATTATTTCCATTACAAGTGGATAAAACACGACTGAACTTGATTGCTCATATAACTCATAATGTGCTGTTGTGTATGAAAATGGTTTTCTGCCCATCAGTGTGGCTGCAGCACAATAATAGTGAATGCTGAGAAAGGTGTCCATCTAGTGTTCATCATGAAGAACTGCAGGTGCAACATATTCATTCAGAGAAAGTACTGATTCACAAGACAAACACAAAGAGGCACTAATAGTTCTAAATGAAACTTGTTTATTACCAAAAAACACCAGTAAATTGTCAGACAGAGACTGTCATCATCAGTGACCGGATGAGATCATTAGTGTGAAAACCTGGGCTATAAAATATTCTCTACAAATAAATACTGTACTTGAGCATCCCATCAATAAAAAAAACCCAGCTGGTGCTTGTCATTGGCCATTTTACGAACAGGAGAACGTGCTCCTGCTGATAAAAACATTACAACACAGGATACAGGGTCTTTGCAGCAGCAGCACTGAGTCAAGACTAAAGGGGTCCTATTATGCTTTTTCACTTTTTCAACTTTAGTTAGTCTGTAATGTTGCTGTTTGAGCATAAAAAAGATCTGCAAAGTTACAAAGCTCAAAGTCCACTTCAAAAGGAGATATTTTATTTAACAGAAATCACTTTTCAAAAACTACAACGAACGACTCGTTTGGACTACAACGCATAATTTCCGGGATTTGTGATAAATCAGAAAAACCGACGAATGGGACGAGACCTGGTTGAGCTGCACTAGAGAAGGCTACGAATGTTATCACTGTGTCGGAGACACGCTAGCTTTCCCAAGGCAGACGAACTTAGAGTGGTTACAATCATCCGGGTTTAAATCGTGCTCAAATTGATTTTATTTGCAATATTTACACTGAAGCTAGCAGGCGGCTATGTTAAGGGGCATGACGTTTCCCGACCAGGCGCCGAGTGCTGCCAATCACAACACACACTGGCCCAGCTAACCAATCACAGCACATTTCGTATTTCAGAAGGCGGGCCTTCATTTCATACCGGAACTATTCGAGCCATTCATGCCAGACTGGGGAAGAGAGGTGTTGTTGTAATGTAAAATATGTGAAAAATAATGTGTTTTTCGAACAACCTAGTATGAGAGCCTGTTCTAGTACACCCCCAAAACAAAATCAAGACTTTGTAAAAGAGCATAATAGGACCCCTGTAAATTCAAACTGGTCAGTCATTTCTTCCTGGTGGTAATGTTCCTGCAGAGCCAGACCATCCCGTCCTACAGCAGACAGAGAGCATGACTACATCAGTGTCTCTCACATGAACACTCTATGTGTGTGTGTGTGTGTGTGTGTAGCTGGTAATCCCTACATTATGGGGACCAAATATCCCCACATAATTTACTGGAGTAATACCAGTAAATTCTAACCAGAAAGTTTTTTGAAAACAAAAATGCCTGTAGTTTTGTGTGAGGGGTAGGGTTAGGGTAAGGGGATAGATAAATACAGTTTGTACAGTAGATAAGTGTGTGTGTGTACCTGGACTCCCTCTGTGGTGAGAGCGGAGCAGGACTGGATCTGCCATATCCGGTCTCGTATGGTGTGCAGGTTCAGGCTCTCTGTGATCTCTGCCGCCGTCGCCGCCATCATCATGTCCTGCTTGTTGGCAAAGATTAACAGGGGCACCATGTTCAGTTTCTCCTCATCGAGCAGCTCTGCCAACTCCTGATGATGGTGGGCATTTCACACACACACACACACACACACACACACACACACACACACACACACCACACAGTGAAGTGAGAGAGAGAGAAAGCCATCATTTAGTGAGGTTGGGTTTTCAAGCAGAAAAGTGTCAACATTATTAGACTGGCTGATGGTCCACTAACAACATGTGGTCTGTTCCACATATCGCCTAACAATCTCTTCATATTCAATTAAATGTAAATGACAGCTTACTGTCAGATGATATATAATACAGACAGTGATGAAGGTCTCACCTGTGCAGTTTCATCAAAACGTTTTCTGTCTGAGCTATCAATCACATAAATCTGTAATAAATCAACAGTCATTAGTGTAATCTCATCTGTTTGTATGAGGTTAACAATTGCTGATAGAAATAATACTGGATCAAATCAAATTCACTTAAATTCAACATGAAACCAAATTCACAACCCATTTTACTTCTGCAGTGTCATACAGATGTACCACGGTATAAAGCCCACCGTCAGAGGGTCCATCAGCATCCAGAGCATCTTTTAACACAAATCTATGCTCACTTCATATTTAAGCATAGATTAAGGACCTCTCTGTCATATTTTTTTAAAATGCAGAAGTAAGCTTTTCTGTGAATGTGCGAGACTTCAGATTCATCAGCCGCTACAGGTAAATAACTAGAATAACAAAGTGAAGTAAACTATTTGCGCTACAAAACAGTGTGTTTATAATTATGACAATACATTAAAGTAATATGATAAGAAATACCAGTTTGTAATATCAAGCATCATAACGGACTGTTTTCGTACAGCTAAAATAACTGGAAGTGGACAGAAGTCTCACACATTCAAGATACAAATGGCTGTGCCGCTCTTATGTGTTACATAAGGTGGATACTGATATTATAATGTTAACCAGCATTATTGAATTACTATGTTACCTATTGGCAAGACTGCATTACATGACTATTGTAACTATTGGTTCACATTAATCAGCAGGCGGTGTAACATGGGTAATATCAGCAGAAAATATTTCAGAGGTTGAGCTATAGAGATAACTTTTTGATGAGCAATTATGAAGACAAATGGCACTTTCTTTACAGGAACGTCACTGATGAATCATTCACAGTATAAGCAGGAACACAAATAATGTCAATGCTTATTTCATGTTGACTTTAACAATAATGAGGAAAACTGTAATTATACACACCAAAGAGTTTGCAAAATACTCTCCAAATAAAACATGAGACATTTAATGAACTATAAACACCAGGAGATCTGTGTTCTCAAAGTAGTTCCTCCAGTAAGGTCTGATCTTCCGCTGTCCACCGATATCCCAAACGTTTAGTTTGAACCCTTGAGACTGGACACTCTTTATGTTGAAGCCCTGTTTAGAAAGACATCACCATGTTGAGAGCGAATGGCACTGCAGAGGTTTGGTCAGATAAAGTATTGCTGTGATCTATGTCTGATTGACCTGTGTGGGCATAATGTGGCTGATGTCCTCTGATGCCAGCTGCTTCAGTATGGTGATCTTGCCTGCATTGTCCAAACCCAACAGGAGGATTCGAACCTCCTGCTCAGGAGAGTTCTTCAGTCTCCTTAAGACCGACAGCAGGCCCTGACGCACAGTGTTTTTTTTAGGACTTTCCATAGACATGATTTTTATATTGTACAAACTTTATATTCTATCCTCTAAGCCTAACACTAACCCTAAACTGAACCCTTAGGCTACAGAAAACATTCTGCCTTTTTACATTTTCAAAAAACAAAAATAAAAACGACCAACCAAACAAACAAAAGTCATCTAGTACAATTTAATTCAATTTAAATGCTTTCCTCATGGGGACCAATATTTTGTCTTTACAACGTAATTAATATCTGGCCAACACACTTGTATTAAAACAGCATCAGTCAGAGTGTGGGAGCTTCATGTCTCCATGAGGGAATTACTTACAGTAGGCTAATAGATAATAAACCGATCACCAGTGTTGGGAAGGTTACTTTGGAAATGTAATAGGTTACAGATTACAAGTTACCCTACTTAAAATGTAATAAGTAGTGTAACTTTTCAATTACTTTATTAAAGTAATGTAACTGATTACATTTAATTACTTTTTGATTACTTTTCTAAATTTCTAATGTTTTCAACTGTTAATCATTTTCAAACATGTAAACCAGGCAGGGTTAAACTTACAATATGTCACGAACAGCTTGTAACACTCCAAAGAGAAAGGAAAACTTGAATCATCATATGAATGACTCGCATCATATGACCCCTTTAAAAAGTTCAAACTCAAGGATGGATCAGTACCCATTGTTCATGATCCAGCTGCAAATTTCAGACTTACTTTAAAATCATTCTGAGGTTAAATGCGTATTTAAAATCATAACAAGAAATAGCTATGCAAAGATTTGATTTCACAAACCGTATCATAGCTATTAAACTATGACAGGAAACACTGGAATCTAACAATGCCTTAGAAAAAAGTTAATCTTAAAAAAATTAAAGCATCTACATAAACCCTATCGGATAAGCATGTTATAAACTTCTGAAACATTGGTGTTTCATATTTTAGCGCAGTCAAATCCTTCATCACTTGAATTAAGATTATAATATTTTAATTCTAAAGAGGTTAAATACATATTTAAAATCATAACAAGAAATAGTTTAATAGCTAGGATACTGTTTTTGAAATCAAATCTTTGCATAATTATGACAGGAAACACTGGAATCTAACAATGCCTTAGAAAAAAACAGTTGATCTTAAAAAAATAAAGCATATACATAAACCCTATCGGATAAGCATGTTATAAACTTCTGAAACATTGGTGTTTCATATTTTACAGCACTCACTGCAACTTATGAAAGAACTAAATTAAATCTGTATGTGGGAGTGTGTGTGGAAAAAATCTGATGTAACCTCCTTTGTAATCCTTAACATTTTCATAAGTAACTGTAATTTAATTACACATTTTTTCTTAGTAACTGTAACTGATTACAATTACTTTTATTTTGTAATTAAATTACGTAATTCCGTTACATGTAAGTAGTTACTCCCCAACACTGCCGATCACTTACACCATAGCGCTGGAACTGAGATAGTGCTAAAGGTAAAAACACCAGGCCTCATTTATCAACAGTGCGTAATGTGTGCGTGAGAACAGTTTCACGCAAAGTGTGGGATCTACCAACTTGTACGTAGGAATGTGTGTAAATATAAGCACAACTCTGAGCATGCTTACGCAGAGAATCTAGTGGTAGAATGGTGATACTACAAAAAGAAAGTGCCGCCGCATGTTTCCTGTGTCCTTTAATTGCAAATAGCCTACTCAATTAGTAAAACATTTACTCAATTAGTAAAAAATAACATTAAAGAGGTGTGTGAACTTGCAAGTATGATGTCAGACACTGTAATATGCTCTGGTCCCCTCCCTGCTTACCATGGTGATGAGATACATAGCAGACTGTCGTCACTCAATGGCTGGATGTCTAAGTGGTGCCCGCAGAATAACATCGGTTTAATAGACAATTGGAAGAGTTTTTGGAGCAGACCTGACCTGTTGAAAAGAGATGGTCTTCATCCCTCCTGGGGTGGTGCCGCTCTTCTCTCTAGAAATATGGCACATAGTCTTAAAGAGTTTGCACTTGACTAACTGGGGCCCAGGTCAAGGAAGCAGACAGACTGGCTAAACCGACCATCTGCTAGTCGCCTCGCGTCACAGAAATCAGTTAATTCTCAGCACAGAGACTCTTTCACCTAGATATCACACTATAGAGACTCTGTTTGTTCCCAGAACTAGAAAATAAAAAAAACTTCCAAACCAATTTAAGAGTAACAATTTAATTGATGTTCAACAAATAAAAAACAGATAAAATACTGATAAACAAATGACAAAGCTTGGCTTATTGAATATCAGGTCCCTTTCTACGAAAGCACTTTTTGCAAATGCTATGATCACTGATCTTAACCTAGATGTGCTCTGTTTGACAGAAAATAATGATTACATTATTTTAAACGAGTCTACCCTTCAAGATTACGGTTATAAACATGAGCCACGTCCAAAAGGTAAAGGGGGAGGTGTTGCTACAATTTATAACAATATTTTCAGTATTTCTCAGAGGGTGGGCTTCAAGTATAACTCGTTCGAAGTAATGGTGCTTCATATAACATTATCCAGAGAGACAAGTGTTAATGATAGATCCCCTGTGATGTTTGTACTGGCTACTGTATACAGGCCACCAGGGCACCATACAGACTTTATTAAAGAATTAGCTGGTTTTATATCCGAGTTTGTGCTGGCTGCAGATACAGTTTTAATTGTTGGTGATTTTAATATCCATGTTGATAAAGAAAAAGATGCATTGGGATCAGCATTCATAGACATTCTGAACTCTATTGGGGTTAGACAACACGTGTCAGGACCTA